CTACACTCGTGTCAATGTAGGTGTCATTAAACACACATCTCCAGCAGCCAAGGGTGGTTCTGCCCCTGAAGGAGCAGCCCACAAGACAGGTCCCAGACATCCAGAGAAGGTAGGCCTTAAACTCAGGTGTTCATGGCTTGGGAAGAGGGAGGAAGGTTACTGGGTTGTGGAAGGCGTATGAAGTAATATGAGATGACGCAGACTGCACACATTGAGGAACTCATCAGTGATGTCCTTCACTGGAGCAAACACAAGCTCTGTGATAATTCAAAAGTAAGCTGTCTGGCATCTTTTCACAAAGCCCTGTCACACATGCAGTCACTGAAGGAGATTGTTACAAGTGTAGTGATCCACTGAGATCTCGCATGCTGAGGGAAAAGGGGGCTGTGGTTCACTCTCCTATGCCCATCTCACCCTTGTATCTCAGTAAAATTAGTCTAGTGTGGCTTCATCTCAGTTCTTGCACAAGACTGTCCAGGAAGTTTTGCTTCCAGGCTCTATTACTTCATTATTGTTCCTTCATTATTTCCTCTGATTGTGCTTCCAGGAAGTCACTATATGGGAGCTGGCTCCTGAGGACTAATTCTTTTGAGAGCCAGAGAACACTCTGAAGAGTGTGGTGCCCAGCTTGTTGAGAAAGTTATGTGGTGGGAAAGGCCTTTGATCCAAACCGTCCAGGGCACTGACAGCAGCAGCATCTTCTCTTGCCTGAGAAGCAGCAGAGATAGAAAGTGTATCTGCTTGTGTGTGTATGTGTATGACTGTGTCAGCCATTTGCAAGTTCTTTGTTTTTTAATTGCAGCCCAACTATCAGTCACCAATTGCCCCTTCAGCACCTTCTCAGCCTTCAGTGCCTTCTGTCTTCACGCCTCAGCCAGTGCCAGCAATGTCTATGACACCTCACCACGTTTCATCTCCCCAGGCCAGTACGGGTCCACAAACAAGTGTGTATTCCAGAGGGCCCCCCTACCCACAGTACAACTTGGGCTTGGTTCCAGCAACCATTTCAGGGCCAGGTAAGCATTGTCTGATAGTCGTGTCCACTCTCCAGCTTTTCTTAGACTAAAGCCTGCAACATGGATGGCTGCTTTACTTTCTTCCTCACAGGCCTATTGTACTTGCAAAGAACAAGTCAGCTGTCTGAGAGACTTCTCAGTGCTTCTGACACATCTAGTTCTAGTAACTTGCTGCATGTCCACTGATATTAAGCATATGTAGGGGTGGAGAAGCCACAGCTACCTTTGTGTCAGAGTTTGACTGATGTAGCCTGGGTTATGGGGGATGTGCCTGGCATGGATATTCTAGGAGATGGCTTGGAGAAGGGCAGATTTACTAGCGTGAAGAAGAGCATCAGGAGTAGTTTGCACATGAAACAGTGATGCTGATGTATTCTCTTTCTCATTTGTAGCTGCGTCACAGTCTCAGCCATTTGGATCAGTGGGAGTCAGACCTGTTGGTCCTGCTCCCTTCCCCAGCCAGCCTTCTCTGCCGGGGCAGTCCATGCCCATGGCATCTCCTGCTGTTCCACCACCTGGACCTGCCCTCTTCACTCCAGCATCAGTCCCATCCTCCCAGCTTCCTGCAGCTTGTCCTCTCCCTGTGGCAAGCCAGTCTCCTCTAGGTTTCTCTTCAGCACCATTCAACTGTCCCATGAACATGGGTTACCCTCAGGGAGGTCCTGGAGCTCCATCTACTAAGCCCCTGCCAGCAGCCAGCGTTCCTCCTCCTCCTATAGGTAAGTACTGATTGCGTGACTTGTCTGTCCAGGACACTCCTGACTGGGGTTTCCAGGATAATGGACGTGGACCTTCTGATGTCTGGTCTGTTGCCATAAAGGCTGGCTGTGGTGCTGAGGCTAACCTTACAGGCACGTTGTGCAGAGTCTTGCTGTGGTGGTGAAACACAGCAATGATGACAGTTTCATTCAGCCTGTTCAGCTGCTTTGCCCCCCAGGTTGTGGTTACAAGATGCTGTCTCTTCAGGTCCCCAGTGTATGCTGAGTAGTCATCCACTCCAGAGGCATCTGCTCTGACTGAAAGGGTGGTGGTTCCCAGGGAAAGCCTGGTGGAAGGCTTGCTGATTTCACCCCTGCTTATGTAACTTACACAAGAAGTGTATCTGAAATGCTGGGAGAGCAGGGTGCTGCTTCTCTGTCCATGAGATACCCCTTGCTTGGCTTCAGGATAAAATTCCTGTCTGCTGTGCTCTAGTTCTCTGTTTTTTACTGTTGCCATAAAGTGCTTGCCTGGGAATCACTCCTGGATTCCTCTGTGCAGTGCTCTAGACCTGGAGCATTTCCCCTCTAGGTCTGTAGTTTGAATCCAGCCCAGTGTGCAAGTTCTGTGAACTCCTTGCTAGCATGATGAAGAAAGAGTGCTGTCAGACCTAGTTCCCTCTTTCTAGTTCCCACAACATCACCACATCTGGTGCTTGTTGATTCTTTGTTTGCTGTCTCAGGGGACAGGTTTAGCCAGGCTATGGACATCCCTAAAACAAGGCTGACAATCCTTAGATTTTTGAGCAGATGCTTCTCCAAGACACGCCTATTTTGAGAGTGAAGGAACCGAGGCTTTGAGGTTTGCCTCCACCTGGAATCCTTTGCTGAGCTGTGTTTAACCATGGATAGCAAATCCCACAGACTTCACACAGTGAGGACTACGTACAAAGGCTCTAAGCTAAGGCTGGACAAATTCCTTCTGAAAAGCTCAGGGACTAGTAGTCCAGGGACATTACTCACTGAGTGAAAGTTGTTGGTGATGATGACTCTCCCACCCTGTCTTGATTTTCAGGTTTCTTCCCTTGGCTAGATCCCAACGTGGATCATGCAGGTACTACCCAGAGAAGCCTCCAGACCTGTGAGGCAGGCAATGTTGCTGCTTCCAGTGAAATGTGGGGGGCGTGCGCATGTTTTACTGTGTGTGCATGCATGCATGCTCATTGCTATTTGCTATTTCCTTGCATGCCTGGGGAGCTATACAGCTGGAGTAGTGGACATACTTGTCCTGACATACCTGTCACTAGTAAGTGACAGGTGGGGATGTTGGAAGTGAAATGAAATCATGGTGCTCATTGTGAAACAATGAGTTTGGGTACAGAAAGCAGGGGCTCCAGCTTCTTCCTTATCTACTTTCTTCCAGTCATGGAGGAATTAGAGCATTCTCAGTCTCTAGTTGCTGGGCCAGCAGGACAGGGAAGCAGCCCCTTTTCCTTTCTTGGTTCTCTAGGCAAGGAATAGGCCAGTGGTTGTAACTCATCTCTTGTTTTCTCCCTGTTACACACAGCCTTATGCATGGCTTTACTTGTGCTTGTGCTTCCCCCAGGTGGTTTGGAAGATGTGGGTCCCAGCATGAGCAGTGGTGGAGTAGAGCTTCCCAAGCAGAATTTGGTGGCCCTATTCCAAGGGGAACTGGAAAGCCCTTTTGACTTTAGTTATAGGGCAAGGTTTGGCTTTGAATCTCGGTCCATCTGCTGGGGAGAATTTGGACCATAGAGGTTTTCTGACTGATGCTTTGTACTGACTTCTCTCCTTGGGATTCATTGATGATGCAGAGTAGGTATCTTCCAGTCTACGGTGTCAGCAAGGTAAGACTCAATGTCTTGGTGGGCTGCCTCTGCACAGCGACTGCTGCTTATGCCAAAGACCATCTGCCAGGCACAGAAGATTATCTAGGGAGTCTCAGCTTTATTTAGGAAATCCAAGTACTTACACCACCAAGCAAGCCTTGCTGTCTGGAGTGGGACTCTAGAAAGGGAGTTGTCCCTTCAGCAGAGAAACAAGAGACCCCAGTGTTTCCCCATTAAAGGAAAGATGATTCCATGGCAAAGATTTCGAGCACTTCCTCAGGCTGAAGATGCACTGTGGGAATTCATTGCTGGGAAGTTCCCTTCTCCTGGCAGCATTTACCCCCAGTTTTAATGCCAGCATATGGCATGCCCAGATCAGCAGTGCAAACTGGCTTCCTTGAGAGTGCTTTCCTGCCTGCTATTATTGTTCTGGGTTTGATGGGTACTTTTCTTTAGCCTGGAAAGGGACTGTAAGATCACTCAATCTGACTGGTCAAACTTGCTTGCTTGCTTTGGAAATTCCTGAACATAATCTGAACAGCTCATGAACACTTTCTCACTAAAGCGATGAAAAGAGGTCTCCATTTGTAGAAATCCCAGGCTCCTAGAGAGCATCAGGGACAGGGTGAAGGACAGCAACATGTTGGCTGATCTTTCCGGCCAGGATAATCCCTGACTCCAGCCTGTGACGGTCTTGGTTTTCTAGTACAGGCATTGATAGAGACTACTGCCGTGGGGCACTCCTTTCAGGGTTGGTGGGAAATCCTATTTCACAAGTAGCATAGGCAAGATAGACAGAGTTTCATCCCTGCAAAATGCAGCAGGGTCCTGTTGTCTCATGTCTGATGATTAAGTGCCTGGCTTAAAGACTATAATTTAAATAGCTGTTTCCTGTGAGGATTCAAAGTGCCACTGGGTTGGAATAGTGCCAAGGACTGCTAGGCCACAGGCTCGGTGGGGGCCAGCAGAGTTCTAGGGCACAGAATCCCCAAGCTAGAAATAAGTGCCAACTTAATTAAACTACTGATCCAAACTCATCAGAGAGCGAGTCTTGAAATCATGGGAAAAGGGAAGGCAAAAAGAGGCTGCCAGAATTTTAATAATAAAGGTAATTAAAGTAATGAAGCACCTTTTGCATCTTTCCCCTGTGATTTTAAAGCTCAGTTCAGGATCAGTGGCTCATTAAGTGTGGCACTGAGCTCCAGCAATTCTGATATTGCCCCTTAGAATTATGCCACTTTCTCACAGATTATTCCTGTCTCATGGGCTTGAGGTTATTAATACTGGGGTGACAAAAGCAGCACTGGGGTTTTGTCTAGAAGTGCAGGTACCCTTACAGGACAGCAGCAGACAAGGCAGTTGGAATTTGGCCTTCGCAGAATGAAGTGTGGTCATGAGTCTTTTGATGTTATGTTGTCTGATGGATTTTTTTAATTACCTGTAGTGAGGTTAGAGACTAGGTGATACAGAAGCATCTGCTGAGACACCCCTCTGCTCCCAAGGCATTTACTGGTGAAGTCTATTCCCTTCTAGTTAGGAAGCCAGCAAATTTTGCTAAACTCTGGTTCTGCACATGCTTTAGGAAGGGCAAAATTTCAACCCATCCTTAATTGCTGTGGACTGCCACCGTGAGGCACTCCTGCGAGCGTTGGTGAGAAGCCCTCTCCCACCCGTAACATGGCCCTCACTGTGGTACCACAGGGCTAGATTCTCTGTTTGGGGAACCCCAGGAACTCCCTGAACTCTGATGTGAACACACGTGTGGGTCCCGACCAAGGTTCAGGCCTGCCTGAGGCTGACTTCTGCAGCCTGTGCAGAACGTGGAAAGCTTCAGGTAGTCACGAAAAAGCTTTCTGTATGGGAGCGGGTGTGTGCCGCTTCAGTCTGGTCAGGCGTCACCTCATGAAGCCTGTGCTTGTACTCGGATGCTAAGAATGTAATTAAGAAAGAGAAACAAGCAGTTCTTGGGCCCATGATCTAGGCCTGAAATTCCTCAGTTGAAATGGTCTGAAGGTGCAATGACAGAGGAATTGGAACCATGGGCCCTTTCGCTAAGGGAAGTTCCAAACCATGCGAGCAACCATGAATTGTTGCCATGGCCACCTTCTCAAAGTCTGACATTTGTGTCTTGTTCTCTCTCCTGGCAGCTCAGGAATCTTGGACCGATCCCTCTGCTGTAAGAGGAGGCCTTCAAAAGAAAAAGGTAAGCTTTCAGCTGCAGTATGCATTGGTTGTCTTTTAACCAGGGAGCTCCATGGAACAGATACGTTCTGATAAATGCTCCCTGTCACACTCAGCAGGTCTCATTCCATGCTGGTCTGTCTACTTCTGCATTACATGCATAGCTAGGACTGCAGTCTACATCACCTTGACCCTTTGCCATCCAAACTCACATGCCATTCTCCAGGGTGGCTGTTTTGTAACACAGTTATCATCTGTGATGCTGCATCCTCTGTCAGCACTTCACAGGCTGACTACAGTCACTTGTTGCTAGAAATACAGATTTTATCTTACCAGCTTGCTCACACACCTCTTTTGATAGTGACTGGGGAGATCACGCTCACTTCACACCTGACAGTTGGGGGCAGCATTTCCCCTCGGCACAGTCAGACCCGCAGTGATTTTCCTCAGATGCTGATACCAACTGATAAGGCACTTCTGCTGAAAGAAGCTGGGACAGGTGTAGCTGTGAGCTGCCTGCCTTGTTGGCCCTGCTGCTCTCTGCCTTGTAGTGATTGCATTGGAGGACCTGTGAGCTGAGGTTTTTTGCAACAAATGCTCTCAGTACCCCATTTTTATCACTGCTGCCTGCTGGCAGGTGTGATGAGAAGCTTCTTTGGCACCGTTCCCACCCCCCACTCCTCTTCCTTAGCTTGGAACAGACTTCTCGCCCTTTTTCTGGCAGCATAGCTGGGAACCTGCTTCAGGCTGTGCTCACTACAACAGGATTAGCCTCTTGTTAAAGCCATCTCCTTTTGATCTAACCCTGTAGGAGCGAATCTATCCTGACTCTCTGGCTTAGCAGGGGCACGATGAAGTGTTTGCAAGAGGATTCTCCCCCCATGTCGTGGGATTTTCCCCAACACTTGCTCTGTTGGACACTTTACTGCTGCTAATCTCTACATTCAGGACTCGTGCCGTTGCAGAGCCAAGGCGGCTTTCTGAGGACCAGTGCTTTCAGGGGCAACGGATCTGTTTGATTGAACAATTCCAGAGGAGTTTTCTTGCTGTTGCTTTGGCTGTTCATCTAGGATGCAAGAGGAAGGGCCCCACACTCTGAGTCAGGGGGCTGAAAGAGGAGGGATGTGTTGCACATCATCTTGAGAACTGGGCAGTCTGCAAGTTAGAAAGGAAGTCGAATTTGACTTCAGAGAGTGTAACCAACCTTCATTCCTTGGACTTGGTTTTCCTGATTTTTTTTTTTTTTTTAATTTTTTTTCTGTTCTTTTTTTCCTGGCAGTTGCCTGAGAAATTTACTCCTCCAGCCCCCATCACAGCTCCAGTAATGAGCCTGCCCGCTGAGCCCCAAGGGATCCATCCTCAGCTGTCCAGGTTGCAAGAATCTGGCCAGTCGCCCCCAGGAGCACCCAAAGAAGGCAGCCTGCAGGTACCTGGGGAAACTGGGGCATTCCCCAGTCACCAGCTCCTTGTCAAGTAGAAAAACAACTCAGCTTTTGAGATTCTTATTACTTGGCAGCTGCAGGGCTTATGTTGCTCCCTAGCCCTTAAAAGATATCTCTGCCTGAGTGTTAGAGGAATTACCAGGGTGGAAAACAACATCTGAGTACAGCTGGGAGAGAGGGAGGGAGACCAGGCAGGCTCTCAGCCTGCTGGGAGTTGGGAATCCACAGAGGCCTGAAGCTATACCACAGTCTGAAGATGATAATCTAACTCTGTGCTTGCAGGTATTCTCTTGGTTTGCGAAAGGGTGAATGAAACTCTTTCTATTCATAGTTGCAGGAAGGCAATCTCTCTGCTCCAGCCTTTCATGCTCCTGTTGCATTCATTCAGCTGCTTCTCTCTCTGTCAGTATCACCAGCTACCTGTGGAGAGGGTTGAGAGGAAGGAGGTGCCCCCTGAGCACCAGGCTCTGAAGGCCACATTTGAAGGGTTGGTGCAACGCTGCTCTGCTGTCGCCACTGATCCAGTAAGTCCTCCCTTCTCTGATCTTTGGCTTTTTTGGCCTCATAGATGTTTGACTGGTACTTTTTTCTTTTGATTGGGAAAAGAGAGGAAGAGTCTTGTCCCTATAGCCAAGTTAATCTCCATCTGCATCCTTCCTTTAGGCCGTAGGCTTGTCCATCTCATGAGAACTGAGATGCATTCTCTAACATTTAACCACTGCTTCTCATTACCTCTCTGGAGCAATGGTTCCATCCTCCTGGCTCTTTTCTCTGAGGAAAGTAGAAGAAACAGTGCGGCTAATTCAGCTTCCTTTTTCACCGACTTGATCTGTAGATAGTTCCTGCAGAGCTGATATTACCAGGTATCCTCAGAGCTTAGAGGGAAAGGCTGAGATATCCTGGCTGGAAGAGAAAGCCAGACAATCTTTCTGTCCAAGTCACTGTCAATTCTCCACCCTGGTTCCTGGGAGGCTGTTGGCATACACGTCACATTGCATGAATGTATCAGGCCAGACTGTCTGGAAGCAGAAAAGCAGAATTTGCAGCGTTGTGTTGGGTTGCTAAGCCTTCCCAGAGCTTGGGGGCACCATGAAGCCTTCCAGAATATCTCTGTTTAGTGGGGGTTGGGATGAGCACTGACCCCAAACTGCTATCCCAGAGTCAGACAATCCATGTGTAGCAGCAATTTCAGCGTGTTTGCTCTGTGCTTTATGAGAGTGCAGTGTAGCTATTTCTGGGAGATAACCTAAAGGTTCCCTCTATGGACAGAAAGGCCTCTTGGTTTGGGCTTAAGTACTTGGCTTACATGGGGGTTGAATAGCTGGGCTGGTACAGCAGTGCAATGCCCCTGAGCTCCTAAGGCTGCCAGGCCTGTCCCAGTGTTACCCAGAGCCAGGCATTTCTATCTACAGTATAATTTACCTGTGAGTGGATTATCCAAGGTGGGGTTAATGGGGTCAGTCCTACCAGAGCTTAAGTACTCTGGCCCTTTGCTTGGTGTGGGAAGGATATTCCCTCTTCTCCTCAAGGAGACCAGGAATAAGTTGCTGCTTGGGTTAGCCAGGGTGAGGCTGTCTGAATGCCCCAGGAGCCAACTAGTAGATGTTTCTCAAACTTTGGAAGTAGTCACTCTGTCCTGTGGTCTGCAAGCTCTAGCAGAATGGAGAAACGCCTAGGCTGGGAGATGGGAAAAGGGGCAAATCCAGCTTCCTGTTTTGGGGAGAGAATGCATGCATGTATATGTGCACAGTGAGGATAGGACTGGCTTGTATCACAGTCCCTGGCTGGCAGAGGCTGAGATGCAGCTGAATTGTAAGGTGCTGTGGGAAGAACAAAGAAGGGGAGGGACTGAGCAAGAACAACTTGGCTCTGGGAGAGGTGGCTTTGAAGCTCTAGCAGAGCTAGCAGTACCTGTTTCACTTCAGAAAACCCGAAGGAAGCTGGAGGATGCATTGCAGCGGCTGGAGTCTTTGTATGAGAAGCTCCGCGAGCAGGCGGTAAGTAGATGCCACCATTCCCTGTGGTCCAGCCGAGTTCCTGATCCTACCTTTGCACTGGGTTGTGGGCCTTGGTGTTTGTCCCAGTGTTACCAGCCCATATCCTCTTGGGAAAGCTAGGGGAGTGCCAAACCTTATAACGGACCTTGAATCCAGCCAGCCTTACCTCTTCTTCCTTAACCTTGGCCCAGACATAGTGTAAGGAAAAGCTGGGGAGGTATCTGCAGGGTGCTTTTACCCCCAAGAAGTATATTGGCATATGAACGGGTTCCAGATGGAAGGGGCAATTGGGGGTAGTTGTTCAGTGTGAACCTGGTGGAACCTCTGGCTTAGAAAACTCTGAAGCTGTTGATGCCAGTTGCTGGAGGGATAGCTATTGGGGAAGGAATCCTTTTAACAAATACCCTTTCCCTGAGTGTCCATGTTAGGCCTGAACAGAGACAGGATTCTGTGCTAGATGGACCTTTGACCTCCTCAGATACAGCAGATACCCAATTTAATGCTCAAACATCATTGCTAAGGACCTGTAACGCAGCCTGGGTATTAATGTTTGTTGTAGGCTGGGAAACCGAGGGAGGAAGCAGGCTATCCGTCCTGCCAGTGCTTGACTGTGTAGGTGCTGTTGGTGAGGATGAAGTGGAGAACAAGAGGGAAGGGTGTGGAGGGAGAGGGGCCTGTGGTACAGTGCTGAGCGTGCTGACTCATTTCTGCTCCCTCCCCACAGCTCTCTCCAACCATCCTCATGGGTCTCCATGAAATTGCCCGCTGCATTGAGGCTAGGAACTACCAACAGGGGCTCCTGGTTCACACCCAAGTGGTGAGCAGCAGCAGTTTCAGTGAGGTGTCTGGTTTCATGCCCATCCTGAAAGTCCTCATGACCATTGCTGGCAAGCTGAATGTGTAAAGTGTGGAGCAGCTGGAACAGTGCACACTGAGAGCTGGTGGACTTCCTCACCTGTTGATGTGCTGCAGGTTGTGGACTCTCCTTCTGACTCTGGAGAAATAAGTCTGTGCCAGTGCCTGGAAACTGTGCTGGGCCAGCATGCCTGGCCCCATCCACTCTCCAGACAGCCCACTGGTGCCTGGGACTCATGGAGACTGTTCTTTCTCTCTCTTCTTTCTTATTAGTCTGAGGCTGCTTCCCAGCCCAGGGATCTCAATTTCAGGCTGTCCAGGCTGCACAGAGATCCTCCCTCTTCCTTGTATCCCTGGCACAAAGGGGAAACTCCTTCCCTCCCAGGCTGATGTTGCTGGTTTTTAGGAGACAAACAGGGCTGGCACCTGCAGTGCCACCAGACAGAAGAGCCTCAGGCTCTGTTCCCTGCTGCAGTGTAAACTGCCTGAGTGATAGCTGGACTCCCTTGGGACCTAAGCTGGGGTGTCCCTGCTCTGTTGGGCTGCAGTGAGGATCTCTCCTCTGGTTCCTCCTCCTTTCTCATTTTCATCCTTGACTCATCCTCTCACCCCTCTGCACCCGTATCCTGCTACAACTAGGGCTAACTACCAGCCTGCTCTGGGTCAGCTTTGGTTCTCTCTTTTCACAGTCGAGTCTCCTGTTTACCCTTTATCCCTCCTCCTTTATATATTTTCCCCCATAGGCTGCAGGCTTGAGCTCTTTAAGTTTCAGGCCCCAGTGCTGATTTCCCCCTTCCAACTCCTGGGACTCTCCCATTCAGGAATACTGGCAGGTTGGACTGCTCTGTGCACTCCTCCCCAGAGCCGGTCGCATCCTGGTTTTGGGCTAAAAGCCTCCCTCTCGTGGCTCCTGGCCTTTTTCACTTCCTTTATGTTAGCACAGTTGGCCTTCTACCCACTGGCGTTATCTAAAGGCTTCCTACATCGGGCTTTTCAGGCAGTCTAGGGGCTTTAAGAGCAGCAGAGATTGTTCAAGTCCCATAAAGAATCCCCTGGAGCTACTCTGACCAGCCCAGACTTGAGCAGGGAGAGACAGCTCATTGCTCCAAGTGTGATGCATTCATTCTGCCTAAAGATATGTGCAAAGGAGGTTCGCAAAGGCCCCTTGGCACTATGGTGGTAGGAATGTGATGACTATGGTGGCAGGTGGTGATGCTGTCAGGTCTCAAGGATACGGCTGTGCTGAGGCTTTTCATCACTGTGTCATTTCCTCTGGGGTAAAATAGATGAATGAAACATATCTGTCCTGGGGAAGAAGTCTGGGAAGGCAGATGGGATTTTAGGGTACATCTGAGTGTGTGTGTCTTTCCCTCTCTTCCTCCCTCCTTGCCTTCCTCTCTCTCACCCTCTTTCATGCTAACTGGGCAGCATAATCGTTGGGCCCTAGCTGGGAGCAAGGCTTCTTCCCAACGTTTGGCTGCAGCCAGCCCCTGCTTCCTCTGCTTGCTGCTTGAGTGACAATGCCATCGTGGGCCTGCGGTTCAGTTACTTACATGAATTGGCCTGCTCTACCATGGAACTTAGGAGGGAGGAGAATCAGAGAAGGGAGGGAGAGGATGCTTCTCATTCTCTCCTTTCCAGGTCAAAGTGCCTCCTTGTTGCTGCTGTGTTGTATCTATTGCTGCGGTTTGATGCACTGAGATTGCAGAACAGTGAAATAAATGCTGTGTTTTGTGATGCTGCTAGCTTTTTTTCATAGGCTTGTCACCTCTGGCTACAGGGGACTTCCCTCAGTCTGCAGGGCCATCCACTGAGAGCTGAGTTCTCAGCTTTGGTGCAGGGGGCAACTGAGAAGGTGTGGGGCAAACCAGATTCTGGGCTCTCCTTGTGTGGTGAGAGCTCAGGCCTTACCCACTCCCTAAGGCTGTGGTGTCAGAGAACTGATCTCCAGATCGCCTGCCTCAGTTGTGACTGTTCATCTGCATTGGATAGAGGAAGGTCCCCAGGATGGCTGAGGTTCTCTTGGGGAATCACAGCAGCATTGGGGTTTTTACACTTGACATTGGGAGTTGGAAATGTGTCAGTAAGTAAACAGCGAGCCCTTGATGACATCCTCTTCTGTTGGAAATCAATGTTACACACTGAAGCCATGCCACTTAAACTGGGATGAGGATCTACCTGTGTGGAAATCAGATTTATACCATTGAATTGTCAGTTCTTACCATGAGTTAATAACTTCTGAATCTGTTGGCTGATTTCAGTTAAGCTTTTAAGGAGGTAAGAAGGCTGAAGTGAAACATCGGTACTGAGATAAAGTTGGGGGGGAATCAAACCAGCTTCTGCAAAAAGACTGGCGTAATCTCGAAAAATTTGTGTTTTCTTTTTGCTGTCAGCTGGCTAGCTAGTCTGTATGTAGAGGCCAGCCAGTCGGCACACATGGAACTCAAATATGCAGGGCTGTATCACCTGGCTTGTGGTCAGAGGACTTGGGAGGAGGTAAAGGTTGAGAAAGGTTGTTTGGATGGGAAGATTTGAAGGGCCATTGCTGGGAGGGGACCAGGGTTTATAAGAATTCTGGGGTGTTATGGACACAGCACATGCATTTGGGAAAAAACAGCCTTTGCTAGTTCTGCTGCTGGCAGAGGCAAACACCAAATCTTGCAGAGCTTTTGCAGCCCAGTCTGGGAGCAGTTAGCAACCAGTCTGGCCTCCCAACTGTCCCCCATTGGGGAGATTCAAGCTGATTTTCAAAGGCAGCACTTGTGTTATGACCCCTTCTGATGCTCTACAAGTGAGCAGGTAGCCCCAGAGGTACAAATTTGCTTAACAAGTGTATAAGGAAAGTCCTAGCTTTCCAAGATCCTTTAACAAGCCTGGTTATTTCTTAGATTCTGCCTTTCTGGATCCAGTTATAGTACCCTCCGCAGTCCAGCCCCTCTCTCTAACTCAGCCCACTTGTACTAGTGAGAAATAAGCATGGATTTTCCATGTATCTTTCAGATGCACTTGACTTTAGTTCCCTCCGGCACGCACAGCTCCCACTACCCATGGCCTCATGCAGAGACCAGCTGTTTATCCTGCCTCCGCTGCCGGTCCTTCCTCCTTGCCCCTTTGTCCCACCGTTGCTCAGTTTAGCTTCAGGTTTACCTCAGTGAGCACCGTCCCAAAATCTCTTGGTAGGGAAACCAGGCAAGGGGAGGTGAGATGACCCACTTGAGGGGCTTGTGGCAGAAGCCCCATCCCTGCGGCCCGGGTGCGGTGTGTGTCCTTGCAAGCCCCCCTGGAAAGCTGCTCCTCCATTTGTAGCACTGTCTCTGCTGGCTGGCAGAAGCTTCTGCTCTACGGGCAGCAGCTCCTCGGCGTTGCCTCCTGCCATGTGGGCACATGGTGCCACAGCGTCCCTGGACAGAGAAAGCGTTTTCTGTTGGGTGAGAAGGCCTTTGGGTTGACAAAGAATTTGGGGTGGGGTGGGGGGGGGGCGGGAGGAAAGGATCCCTGGGCACAGAGAACAGAGCTCTAATCCTGTTGCAGATAACATCATGTCTGCGGGCTAGGCTTGTGTGTGTTTGGGGGAGCTGGAGGGGCAGAGATTGTTAGGCAGTATTTGTTTGTAAAGCCACTTGCTCTGAAGATAATGCTTGCACTAACTTCTATTGAGGGAGCAGTGTGAGTCCCCACAAAGTCCTTTCCCAAAGTGTCTTTGAAGCCAAGAACCCATTGAAAGGAAGAAAGGCCAAGAGAGGGGATTAGTTTGTTCAGCAGCTGTGAATTTCAGTGGGAGGCTGATGAACTCCAAAGTCTTTGTTGAGATTTTTTTGTAAGGAGCCCTGCTGGAGGGAGAGACCCACACGGGGCCGCGGCCTTAGACAAGAAGGAATCCGAAGCGGCAGGGAGCTGTAAACGGGCCACAAGGACTTTTCCCAAACACTTTTCGGAAAAGGTGTTGTGAAGAGAGCGGAGGGGGATTAGCATGTGAAATGACACTTTCCATTGACTCCACAGAGGGGAGGGGAAAAGGGCTGGCTGGCTGATTCATTAGCATTTTGTTTCCTTCTCTATTCTGCTCCCCCAGCA